TGTTGCAGATTAGAAATCTGAGCTGAATTATGGCCGGCCTCTTCCTGTGTCAGCACAGCCAGGTTCTCCTTTGCTCTACTGCTGTTGAGCAGTGTGGGCGCATCTCAGCTGGGCTCTCGGTTCCTCCCTGGGTGCTCTTGCACTTGTGCTTGTCCCTTGGTGTTCCCAGTAGTCCAGTGCTGTTTGCAGTGCTCATCGGCAACACAACGAGCAAACCTGGTTGGTCCTGGAGCTGCTTCGGGACTGTATAGAAAACTGAGGGCTTGGAGAAGTTCTGTCAGCCTCCCTGGGCTCTAGCTGCCTAACCCATAATGGCTCCTCCCACGACCCGGGGTGTCCTCGGGGAAGAAACCAGCTGGAAAGTAGGACTTCATGCACGAAAACATAAGATCAAGCCCCTGAAAAGGTAGTGTTCTTGACTGTTGCAGTCTGCATTGGCGGAACATGCGGTCTAGCAGCTATAACTTGATCTAAGGTAGTAAAACTTTGACAGTAGGAGATGTAGTGATTAGATGGGCTTGGCACTGCAAGCCAGGTCCTCAGCGAACCTGTTACACTGTTTAGGTTATCCAGACAGTGCCACTTGCCAGAGTCTCCCATGCATCCCAGTGCATGCCCTGCAGCTTCCTCTCCTTCCTCTCCTAGCGAGAGCTCTGTTTCACAGCTTAGCACAAGCCATAGCCTGTCTTACACAGCCACTAGTGGCATTCTCCCACCCTACAAGACATTTCCTCCATGCCTCGTCCCCTAGCACGGTTCCTTGGCCGTGTTCAGCTTGAGAGTGCCCTGGCTCAGCAGTGAGGGCTCAAGCTTTGCTCTGTGGCAGCGGCGAAAACGAGATGCGCGGCTGAGTAAAGGGGGGGCATAGTGTGGATCAGTGGTTGATGCAGTGGGGAGGAGACGATGGGGGGCTGATTAGGTTCCAGGTGAAGTTTGGAAGGGAGCGGAGCTAAGTGAGGGGAGAAATCTGGGCAGAAAGAACAGTACGGAAAAGGTGGCCTGAAGCAATGCTCTGTCCTCCTACACAGGTGGCCCAGTTTGCCACTTCTGAGTCATGAGGCTGTATGTGCAGAGACAGCTGATGAGTCAGGGAAGCAGCAAACCAAACCAGAAGTAGCTGATGGGTGTGAGTTGCTGCACTTGCTAATTTTGGTATAGCTCAGCTTATGAGGAATACGGCCATGTCTGTGTAATTTTAAAATGTACTTTATGATCTCTATCACAATTACAACGTGCATGTAGAGGTATGTGTGTGTATGCGTGGCTTACAATTCATCAGGACTGTGGTTGTTTAGCTGGAGAGTGTCAAAAACATGAGAGTCAAGCACAACCAAATTTTAGAAGGAAGAACATTTTTGCTGCTGTTCTCCTAACAGTATTAAGTTCCTCAAAAGCAAAACCAAGCGCCGTAGACAAATCTCTCATCTCCTAAAAAAGTCGTTGTCCCAAATCTAGAAGTCAAACAGCGTTCTAAACGCAAAACCCAGCCTGGCCTGTCCCATGCACTAACTTCGTGTGCATCCCTATGCAGCTAAACCAAGAGCCAAGGCTGCTGTCACACAAGCAGCAACTTTGTTCACAGACTTCTCCCAGGTCGCTGTCGAACCTAGTAATTGCAGCGTAGCTCTGCCCTGTAGTGAACTACTTTCCTGCCAGCAATTCATTTCTATTGTGTGGGAAGAATAAATTAAAGCTTGAGTACAGTGAAATTTGATCGCTACCTACTTACAAACCTTTCAAAAATTTCTCAATTCTCAGCTGAAATCAGTATCTTGTCATTAGATGATTATTTTAATTATGCATACAATACTAGAAACACACATAGTATGTGTAAATTCATTGATGACAAGTACGTGTATTAGCTGTGCCTGGAAGGCAGAAGAGCAAAGCCTCTGCAAACATTTTCCTTGTATGCTGCTGATGCACTTCGGTGTTTCCCAAGAGCTGCTCCTCTAAGACTGGGAGTGTACTGCACGTAGAGCTGCTTCTGTTGTCCTCCTTGGCCCATGCTGTGAATGAAACATCCAGCCACCAGAGGCTCTTTGTGGTGAGCTGTCAGGAAACATGAAATGCTAAGGACATGCAAGTTCCCTGGAATATGCTTTACGTACTGTTGATGAGCTGGGCTGAGTTAAATGGCAGCCAGGGGTTGAACTCCTGACAGGATGCAAAAGAGAAGGATATCCCACCCTCATAAAGCACTGTTCTTGATAACTAGAAGATGTCAGTCCCTGTAAAATTTACCTCTGGATTTCTTCTGCTGTATATTCCAAAGGAAAATACAGGTAGGGTTCAGAAACATTGGTGATGGAGCCACCAACAGAGTAGCACAGACACACAGATGAAAGCAGACTGCACAGACATCATGGAGCAGAAGGAGTTGAGTGGACAAGTCTACCAAAATTTTAAATAAGGCAGAAACTGGTATAGAATTTGTTAAGTAAAACATTTTTCTATTTAGAATTGCATTCTCACTGTTGAGCTGAAACTACACTTGGTTCTGGAAAAGCTGTTTCATGTCTCTATACGCCTTCAGGTTACAGCTCCTAAAGGAAGCAATGCAAGATTTGGATCCAGTTAGACCTGGTGTGAACAGGTCTATCAACAGCAACAGGTAATTGTAACACCAAAGTCTGAAGGACGGACAAGCAAGATTCCTATCTTGGGTGGCAAAGACAAGATATCTGTGAAATGACATGGATGCACACAAAGAAACAAGGAGAAATAGCCTACCCTTCCTATCTGCTGTTCCCATCCTTCTATTGTGGCCAAAATAAAACGTTCACTAAAGAAAGGTCTAATAGTTACTAAATCACAGGAGCAGAATTAAGGATTGCCGGGATCTGTTCTGATTTGGCTTGCTATATGATTTCCTAACTCCTTCCTTGACAAGTCTTTTCCTTCCCTATGCAGACCCCCAAGGAGCCAAGTCAATGGTGTTAGGCAAACTGAAGAAACCATGTTGACAACCTCAGTAAGTCATGACTTTTTATATTTCTTACAGATTTTCGCAGTGCATGGGACAGGACTATTTTATCCATGGTTCAGCTTTTAAAAAAGGGTTCTCAAATCATTTTACCACACAGAAACCATCAGGAGAGGCCCTGAACTATTCCCTTGGGAGCATGAAGCTTGCCCATTTCGTCATGAGACACTGCAAAATCTAGGGCAGCCCAGCAGTACTTGTGGGTGATGGGGGCAGAACAAGAGACAGCAGCTTTCTGTCGCAGACTCCATGGCTGCTTGCTTGGTGTGCTCTCCAGACCCTAACAACTCAACGTTCTCTGATTCCTCTGCCCTCCACACCCCCTGCAACTTTACATTTCCAACGTGCATGCAGGCCTGTTGCATCTGCCATCGAGTGTGAGGAACGGCGCTCGACAGGGAAAGGACAATATGGCCCAGGTACCAATTTGCTGTTTGTTTTTTCGCTACGCAATTGTCAGTGAGGCCCCAGCATGGGCACCTGATACGTTTTGCAGAGTAGGATTTGCCTATTATTTTCACTGTATTTACGGTGTTAGTGCGAGGCGCTCACCACGGCTGGGATCCCAGTTGTGATGGGTTCTGTACGACAACAGGAAAAGAAAAAAAACAGCCCCAAGAGTTTAAAATGGAGGTAAGACAGTGGTGTAGCCCATGAGCAGAGTAACTCTCATGACCTTCTGTAAATACTGTCATTCTAAGTGGCAGAGATTCTTGGGAATGGCAAATTAAATAGTAAAAAAGTGAAAGGAGTGGGGAGAGGGAAGATTAGTGGAAGGGGTCAAGAAAGGAAAAAGAATGGGGACATGAAGACTTCTTTGGGTAAGCACTTTTCCATGTTTTCCTGAATGTGGGCCTTATCTGCCTTTCCCCCTTGTAATACCATCGTGATTTTGCAATGGGAAGATCTGCCTCTGCTTGTTTCAGGGATCTGTAATTACGGCTCAGCATTGTGTCTTTAGCCAGCAGTGCACCCACTGCATTCCCATGCTGCGCTTCAGAGGCGGAGTCACTCTTCACAGGAATGTTTTAACTATATCGCTGTTGGTAAGCAGATTCTTGATCTCCAGAGGTAAAATAATTTGCCAAAAGAGAAAATAATTCACACTGAGGATCTAGAAAATCTGCACGGAGAAATTACGTAGTTCTGTGCATCACATGGGTAGACTTTTATGAGAAAACAAACTGAAACACTGAATAAAACAAAACCAAAATTCTGCCGATATCATTGCTCGATCTATAAATATTCATGCCAAGATTCAGCGAAAAGAATTTCAGTGGTCCCGTGGGCTGCAAGAATACTTATCTGTTCTGGCAGCAAACCAATTTTAGCCTTTGAAAAAGAAATTGTATCGCCCAGTTAAGATACACCAGATTGCTGCAATCCCTTAAATATTTCTGCCTTTCTTTTGATTTTCCAGGGTTTCATTGGTCAGATAAAACTGGATGTTCTTTAACATCATTAATAAAAAACACTTCATGGCTGTGAAAAGTAGTTTGATAAAAATGGCTTTGCATAACTAGAGAATTGCTATCTATTCCTGTTCTTCTGTATTTATCTCTGATTTAGAGACAACAGACCTGGTTGGCCTCTTACTTACGTTGGAGTGCATGCATCAGGATATTCCTCTACAAACAGAAGTCCCAGAGCAGTTAAGCTACTTTAGGTGAGAGGAGAAAGAGGTCTCCGTTCCACTGCTTCAGCAGCCATGGAAAATATGTTTAATTTGCTGCAGAAGGAGGCAGCTGCTTGTAAAAATTGTCACTACAGCAGGTCCCCACTACAGGCCAATATTTTACGGTGTAAGGGAAGATTTATGGTTTCAGAGAGAGAATTCCCATGGAAGATTTTTTCCAGGGGCAGAATTCTATTGGTGTCGTTAAATTAGCCTTCAAAAACAGATTCTAAATATTTACTCTGTCATCTTTCAGAGAGATGATGATGAAACAGAGCTAAGAACACCACTTCGGGGTGGGAATCTAAATGAAAACAAGCTGCTGGGACAATCTTTTTATTATTATTATTTATTACAAAAATTCTAGTTTTTCAAACAACTGTGAGCTGTGACTTCATAACCTTTCACAAGGAAAACTGAAAAGCACATAGCAACGTAACACTGTTACTGCAATTACAATTACAGGAAGTAGTATTTATAAAGGAAAATGTTTTGTTCCGTTTTAGCAGGAAATCCATCTGATGGTCTGCTCATTCTCTGCTAGGGAGGGCATGATTTGGATCTGGGCGATGGTGGCAAGCGGCCAGCCTCCTGCTTTGGGAGGGCAGGAGGAGAGGGAACTGACTGGGGGCTTTTGAAAGGCTAGCGCTGCTGGCAGCTTCGTCCCGGTTATGGGACAGGAGCCCTGGACGGCAGAGGCTTTCCTTCCTCTTGTGCAATATGAAGGCTGGGATGGAAAGCAGATAGCACGACACCCGGGAAAGCCCCTGCCGCTGGGACCTGTCCCGCACCAGGAGGCCGTTACGGGTGGGGAAGCTGGAGCAGTAGTGCCTGTCGGCTTCTAAAGGAGATAGTGGGTATATCAATTTATTTCTTAGCAGTGGCTTCACTGTGTTAGTGGAAGCTGAACTGTATTGAATTATGGTAAAATCTGATCCCTGTGAAGCTTCATTCAATCTAGATGCACCTTGTGTTCCCTACAAGTTTTCCCCTAATATCTTCTTGAAGAATAGCTGGTTTTCCCTAATCATCTGGCTGAAGAATAGCTGTTTTCCCTACAAGTTTTCCCCTAACCATCTTGCTGAAGAATAGCTGGTTTTCCCTAACCATCTGGCTGAAGAATAGCTGTTTTCCCTACAAGTTTCCCCCTAATCATCTGGCTGAAGAATAGCTGGTTTTCTGCTCGTTTTCCAGGAAAACCTTTTCCCGCTGCCCCCCCCCGCAAGCCGCGCACCGGCAGCCCGGCAGCCCTCGGCGGTGCCAGCAGGAACACCACAGAATTCTTTCGGCGTTCCTTCTCCTCCTCCCCGGTGAAGCAGGGTCCGGCCACCACCCCGGCGCGCTGAGCAGTGGCCCGGCTCCCACGGCACCCCCCCCGGGGCCCCCCCCGGAGCCCCCCCGGAGCCCCCCCCCGGACCCCCCCCGGAGCCCCCCCCAGAACCCCCCCCCCCCGGACCCCCCCCGGAGCCCCCCCCGGAGCCCCCCCCCGGAGCTCCCCCCCGGAGCCCCCCCCCGGAGCACCCTCCCGGAACCCGCCCCCCGGAGCCCCCCCCCCGGGCCCCCCCCGGAGCCCCCCCCAGAACCCCCCCACCCGGACCCCCCCCGGAGCTCCCCCCCCGGAGCTCCCCCCCGGAGCTCCCCCCCGGACCCCCCCCGGACCCCCCCCCCGGAGCCCCCCCCGGACCCCCCCCCCGGAGCTCCCCCCCGGAGCCCCCCCCCGGAGCACCCTCCCGGAACCCGCCCCCCGGAGCCCCCTCCCCGGAGCCCCCCCGGAGCCCCCCCCAGAACCCCCCCACCCGGACCCCCCCCGGAGCTCCCCCCCGGAGCTCCCCCCCGGAGCTCCCCCCCGGACCCCCCCCCCGGACCCCCCCCCGGAGCCCCCCCCGGAGCCCCCCCCGGAGCCCCCCCGCCGGGAGCGGCGCGGTCCCTCCCCCGGCTCCCCGGCGCCGGGAGCCGCCCGGGCGGCTGCAGGCGGAGCGAGGCGGCCGCCCGCCCCCTGCGCCCGGCCCGGAGGTGCCGCCGGGGCTGCTCGGGCTCCTTCCCTCGGCATCAGCAGCCATGAAGTCGCTGTGCCTCGTCACCCTGGGGGTCTTGGCCATGACGCTGCTCATCGCCAGCGTCTCCTTGCTGGTAGCGCACGTCTTCCAGACAGTGGTGGACCTGCAGGTGAAGCAGGTGAGAGCACGGCCCGATTCCCACCCCAGTCCCTCCTGACCCGTTTATTCCCTCCCCGAATAACCCTGGGAGGGAGGGAGGGAGGGAGGGAGGGGGCTGGCGGGTGGCGTTGTCTGGCTCCCTCCTTGCACCAGCTGCTTTTGGGCGAGGGCTGGAGCCCCCCTGGGCACTGCAACCCCCTCTCCCTGCCCTGGACCACCCGGCTAGGCTGGGGCTCGGGATGGAGCTGAGGCTGCACTGGGCCTGGGCTGGGTTAAAACGGAGTAGAAATCAGTTCTCTTGAGGCAGCTTTACTGGCAGGGGGGGCGGCAGCTGTAGTGAGGAGCCCCCTCCAGAGCAGCAGCACACGAGGTGAGCAGAGCACCCCTTTTGTTTCGCCATCCCTATCGTAGATTTCTCGCAGCTTTCCTATAGTATCTTGTTCTGCTGCTCCATTTGCTGCTGCCTCTGGAGCAGGGCCAGAGGTGCTGCGGACTGAAACACGTGGTAGTTTCCCAGGCTGGGTGATGACTGGCGAGGCATTCCAGCCTGTTGTTAGAGGCTGCTTGCAGCACACTTCGGGGACACCCATCCTGGCATTGTCAGGAGTGCAGAGCCCTTCACTGTTCACCGCCCGCCTAAGCTTTTGTTCATCATACTGGCTCTTTGCAGTTATCTGGTGGTCCAGTGAAAAGGGTCGACTCTGTTACTAACTCCCTTAAAATACCTGTGAAGCATGAACAATTATTTATCTGCCTAGTTTGAGGAATATTATCCTCTCTGTTATTCTGAGAGAGGAACCAAGAGGGCTGACAAATGAAGGGATTTGACCAGTGCTACAGTCTAACTGGTGACCAAAGTCTGCTGATTCCCTGCAATGTCCTAACCAAAGGACTGTTCTTTTCTTTGGGGTAATTGACAGGGAGCATGTCCTAACATGGAAGCTATATTGCCATAAATCAGTTTGGCTTCGGGACTGTAACTTTAGGTTGGCAGGCAGCTTAAAGCAAGTTGTGGCACTTTGAAGTATGCCTGTAAACTTCAGGGGATAGCCCCCCCCCCCCCCCCCCCAAGAAAAAGAGGCTGCCATAGGGTAAGCTGTTGTTCAGCCTGCCAGTGTTTCAGCTGCTCTTCAGGAACTGCTTGTACAGCTACTCCTACAGTGTTTGTTCTCATGTACGTGCCTCTGCCGCGCTGGAGCGTAGCATGGGTAATGGATGGTTTATCCCAAAATCATTTCATCCTCAGCCCATACCTTTTCTAGGCAGTCTGAAAGCCAGGTGTGAAGTGATGTGAGTGTGAATGTACGCAAAGTTGTATGCAAACCAAGCCAAATCAGTACAGCTTTGCATAGGCATGTGCAGTTCCAGCTCCCAGATCTTAGGTCTCTTTAGAAAGGAGTCTTTCATCCTCTGCCTCACAGCAGAAGTTCTAGTTCCAAGCCTATTTCACGCTCTTATCAAAAGAGCAGTGGGGTAAAAAAAATGGTTTGGCAGGAGAGTGTAGGACCGTCAGGAATTAGGCGTGATCCTCCTTATGTGTATTATCTCTTAGCTACATGCTCCTTACCCTTAGTGGTAGATTATGTAAGAGTAAGTTGGTATTTGCTCAGCAGGGCTTTCAGTAATGCAGGATAAAGTTTCCAGAGCTCAGTCTTTTCCTGCTTACTGCTCTTCAGGTTGTGCTAGAGTACATCTGGATTGTCCTGCTGCCTGTACTAGCCACTGACTCGCTCCTGGCCTTCTCCTGGAGCCACGCACACAGACTGCAGTACAGCTTTCAGCCCCAAAGCAGTATGCTCCCAATCACTCTGCTGATTCAGCTGCTTTCTACATGGGCTTTATTCCACATGAGCTTTTTCTCATTTGTGTGTAGTCTAGAAAGTTGTTGTCTCTTGTGTAACCACGCATGCAGCTTAGAAAATCTTGTGCAAATTGACAGATCTCAATTTGCCTTTGAAATGTGGCCGGACTTGAGCTTTTCCAGCTCTTTGATTGCTCTGCAGTCCAGAGCATTGGACACAAAACATCATCTTTGCGCTCTGGCCCTTTTTAGCTTCCGCAACCTCTCTGTCATTGGAGGAGTTGCAGAAGGGACAAGCGGTTGCCCTTACAACAGGTAGTTCGTGTTCCTTTGAGGGCCTTCCAACAGCCCTGAAACAGAGCTGACTTGCAGCGAAGAGCTGTCTTTGCAGTCTCAACTACAGCTGAAATGGAGGATCGTGTTTTGGAGCAGGTGAAGCACCAAATCCAGGACCTGTGAACCCCTGAGGAAGGGTCGGCTCTCAGCAGAGGGTCTGTGTGTGCCACATCCTTTCCAGCCAGAGGCAGGGAAAGGGAAGCCTGTTCTTGGTCACAGTGGGGGTGTGGGAAGAGTGGGCAATCTAGCCCCGTGTCAGACTTCACATCCCCTAGAAAGCCAACAGGTATCCGGATGGGTAGTGACGAGGACAGAGGGAGCACCTTTCCCAGAAGGCATTCAAAACTTGCCAACTTATTCTCTGTCTTATTTGCCAGTCCTGCTGGCTTTTTGTGAATTAGAGTGCCATGCCAGATCAGGTGTCTCACTTGTCCAGTATCTGTTCGTCGTCAGGGGCTAGCACCTGAAACTCCATCAAATCAGGGCAAAACCCCTGTAATGAACAAGAATAAATTAGCTGCCCACAGGAGAAAGGCCGCCTGCGCTGCTAGCAGTATTTGCCTTATGCTATATGTTGGTTATATGGTTATGTATTTTATTTCCCTAAGCATGCAGTTTATGCATATACCAACCTTTGATCTATGCACCTAATTCCAACCTTGGGCAATCGATCGTTTACTTCAAGTGTTTTCTTTACGCTCCATGCCTTACGCTGATAATTTTAGAAAGCACTTAGTCTTCTAAGCCCTTGAAATTTTACTGGACTTTTGTTGCCAGCCATCTCTAGAGCTGGATTGTCTGGAGTGTTTGGGACCCAAAAGGACAGGAAAGATATTTTGTCCCTTGATTGAGTTTATGTATTGAGCTTTTTTTGCTGTTGTTGTTTAATGTGAAATACTGGAGCTCTTGGCACACTTTAGTGTGGAGGCTTAGAGGAAGGATCAGTTGAGATGCTCCTTTTGAGCAGACCATTCCCAAGGTCAAGACAAGGAATCACCAGCGAGATAGCTGCAAATCCCAGACTGGCATGATAAATAAAGTCAGTAGGAAGAATGCTCTGGTACACTGGAAATGCGTATGGACTCCACTTGGTTCTCCACAAGGAGAACCCTTACTGTGCTTCCGAGGGAAGACAGGAGATCATATAGTCCACCGGTTTTAGGTTGTGATCTTGCAGGAGGTACACCATTTTTGGTATAGTCCACTGGTTTTAGGTTGTGATCTTGCAGGAGGTACACCATTTTTGGTACCTCTTGAGAGGCTATCTCTGAGTCTGAGGCCTCCCTAGGGTACTTCCCCGGGACTAGCAACTGGCTTGTGGTTTCTGAATACTTTGTGTCTCTTGTTCTTGCATATGAATGTAGCAAGAGGAAAGGTCTGGTTCTCTGGCCTTACCCAGTACAGCAGTGATAACTACAGTGGAGCTGTATCTTTTATGTAGTTTAGATTAAAGAGCAGTCCCTTGATCTAATATCCTGCAGCCTGCCCAACCTAGTAGTGAACACGAGCTCTGACAAAAAACCAAGCGATCCCAGTTGTGTAACATCAGATCCTACTGTGGTGTGGAGGAAAGTCAGCAGAGCTAAACTTGAATGCCATCAGCTGAGGGATGTGGACATACGTTTTGCACAAAAATATGTGCTCATCTTTTTCTCTTAGGTCTAGACTGTGTCATATGATGTGACAGACCCAAATATCCCTGGTAACATCTGATAAAAAATAGAAGAGGAGTACTTACGGGTTTTTATTACTTCAGAGTTTCATTTGAGTCTATCTAAATCCAGCTCAGAAGTTTTTGTGTTTGGGCTTATATCTGGGACTGTCACTGTACGGAGCTATTAAATAGACACGTCATTTCTGTGGGAGATCCAAATGGTGCCATGCAGATCTGGAAATAAATTGCCAGATGACTTTGTTTCACTACCCTTTTGCTCTGTAGCCCATCTCCCAGGGGATCGGTTATGATTTTAAAATCTCAAGAGCCTGTGTTTAAACCAACCTGCCAGAGAAAAGCTCATTTCCTTCTTATTAATGATCTGCGTGTGTAATCTGATGCATATGTGTATAGAGAGAGAGCGTGGTAGAAAC